AAGTTGGATCAAATGGTTTCGGATCCCCAAGATGGGTGTCCTAGCTGCCCTTATATAGAGTTCGGGGCTAGGGCGTATACAAAGAAGAAGGTTCCCCCGACCAAAGGATCATGAGCCTGAGGGTGGTCCTAGCTAACTTGGCTTGCAAGCTACGCTGTCTTGTGGAGCACGCCTAGACATGGTTGTCGTCATGTTCTTGTGGCCACGTCGTGGCATGGTGTGACGTGATGCTACTGTGCTGGTCATGGCAACACTGTAGGCACGGTGGTGGTTTGCCAGCTGTCTTGTGCGACGTGGTCCTCGCTTTGGTCTTCGTCATAGCCTCCTGGTTTCCTGGGGCATTGTACAGGAGTTGGTAGCCGCCCCTGTTGGTTTGAGGAGCTGAGGGCCACGCCCCCGATCGTTGGGGTCGTGGCTTCCGTCGGATTGGATGGCCTCTAAGTCAAGGCCTTCGTCGTGGATCCCATCCCATGGTGGGTAGAACTGTACATGCGTCCTGTCGGACCGTATTTGGACAGTGGATCGCCATACCGGTTGACACCGCCGTGTGGTGTTGTCTTGTCTGCACAGTGTGGCGCAGGGATGGCTTCTGACCGAACCGACGTGACCGTTGTCCCCTCGGTCCTTGCGGGGTTAGAGTAGCATCCTTGCTTTTGTCAGAGCGGGCACGTTTGGCCGGGCTTAACTTCTCCCCGTCCCAACCGGGGGTCGTAACGGTGGGGAGGTCGTGAGTCTCGTGCGCGTCATGCGGTTTGAGAAGGAAGGATGGGCTCGTGGCTGACTTTGGCCTTGGCATCTGGCCTGGTTCTCTTGGCTCAGCTAGGCCTCGGTCGTTCGGACCTTTGCTAGCTGATATGTCATGGGTCACGTGGCCCACCAACTAATCGATGTCTTGAGACACCCCGGAGTTATAACCCCGACACTTATCGTCTCAAGAAACTTTGCCCCACCATCTATTGTTGGCACATCCTCATCAGAGCATCAACACTCAAATAGTATCGCCATATAGCTATAGCATCTGAATATATGCTATTCATATTCCACATTGTTTCTTTTGGTTTGACCATTTATATAAATAAAATACCTTCTACAGATCCCATAGTAACATGCAGAGTTTGTACCAAGTATCTACTTAGATAAGTTAAGGGCATGTTTGGAACATAGGAATTTCGCAGGAACCGTGAAAGAATTTCATAGGAATCAATTCAGTTTTACAGAAAAAATATAGGAATAGGAAAAAAATTCCGCATTACAAACGGACCCTGAAACAACCCATAATTTTAAATGGATGGAGCAGAGAATACGTAACTCTAGGAACCACAGTGGCTAGCCAAGCCCGCCACCTGCTCGTGCAAATGCGCAGGACGGCCTACCATAACAGCAGCGCCCCCTCATGGTACACCACGTAACTCTAGGAACCACAGTGGCTAGCGGGGACCGAGAGGATTGGCATTAGGGGAGCCGAATTCCAGCACTAACTGTAACTGCGCTTCTGCTTGACTCATGGTTTGAGCTAGGCAATTCGACAAGAATAAGTGACACGCTCACACGCAGCTCCATGCTGACGAGGGGAGTGCAGGAGCAGCAATTTTCTCACGTGCAGGTATGCTGTCAACGAGACCATCTTTGACCTCTCCGTAGTCTTTTTTTGCGGATCCATGGATCTTTTCATCATTGTTTTGCCTGTGAATGACCTTCTATGACCACGTTGTATTCCTTACGACCTTAGCAGAAGAAAGAGAAGGCGATCTTCTCTCTCTAAAGTGGATGGCACAGAATTAGGCCCCGTTCAGTTCACCCCAAAAATCAAAAAATTTTGCACAGTAAGTGTCACATCAAATCTTGCGGCACATGCATGGAGTACTAAATGTAGACGAAAAAAAAACTAATTACACAATTGGCCGAGAAATCGTAAGACGAATCTTTTAAGCCTAAATAGTCCATAATTAGACAATTTTTGCCAAATACAAACAAAATTGCTACAGTAGCCCAAAGCCAAAAATTTTCGAAACTAAACACGCCCTTAGCACACATTTACGCGCCGACGGCTATGGCCTATGATCTATGGATCACTTCCATGGTAAAGGTCAGAACTATCAACTGCCAGTTCGTCTTGTCGATGTGTCACTAATTAGTCATTTAACTAGTAGGTGCTTCAGAGAGATAGCATCGCACTTGGGCAATTGAGCTATCCGTAGGCATCGCTCGAACTCATAGCCATAGGGTTGTCTCGAATGGTGTAAAGGTATGAGTCTGATGAAGCTGAATAGGCTTTGCTCGCGCACAATTTTAGTACTAGAAGCTATACTCTACTTTGCCTAATTACACAGAACACGTGTCAGAAACCATTGGAGAACTAGGAGGGTCAGACTCTGCTTTATCTGTTCACTTCCACATGCCTAAACTTTCTTTTAAACAAATATGCCCGAATTGTGCCTATTTCAGTTAACAAAGAACACATAAAATTAACTTAGAAACTAATGTATAAACTACTAGTATCTTTAATTTGTCCTGCTGCCGTTCACAGGAATGTGGTGAAACTCTGAATGGAAATAGCGTGTGTGATCTAATTAACAACCGGCGGATCTGCCAAGGTGGAATAGTGCCAGAAATCTGCTAACTAAGCATGTTTTTAAGTGAGAAACATCAGAGGACAACCCACTAGATTTGGTAAAAAGGGAAGGCATGATGTACCTATACTATAAACCATTTAACAATGAATCATTTAGATGTATAGGCTAATCTTTCTAGCCACAGTTCTGCTCCGCAAAGTGTTAATCATTCTTTGACATTTCTTGGTCACCTAGGCATAAATAACGTGCCATAGGTTGAGCTTTGTGGCCCACCAATTCGTGCATAGCAATATAAGTAGCCTGATATTTATTAGCTGAGGCGTGGACCAAACCATCTAAAAGCTGATATGTGAATCATGTTTGTCTAGTGAATGCTGGGTTACCGTCTGGTGGGTGTGCATGTTGGGCACAATAAGATGGGAGCATGGGACCATACCCTGGAATCTCTGATGGCAACAGGGATATCGATGATCTTCCCCTGATATTGGCTGACCATTAAGTCAGATGACTGCAGCATATCTATGACTGAGCAGAACTTTGCCTGCATTCTCTGGTAGCCTTGTTCTTCCCAGTTCTCTTTTGCAAAATTCCAAACTCTGAACATTCTAACCCTCTGTTAAGATATTTTTCAGATAGTCTGACTATCTACCCTCTAAAAACTATCTAGGCTGTATTTTTTTGCTTTCCAACTTGTTGGTTGCATGCAAATATCACATGGGTGTTATTCCTTTCAGAAATGACATGATAGACTACCCTGTGAAAAATAGGATAGCTAACAGCCTAACACCAAGGACCAAATCTGGCATTCCTCTATTTTTGGTCCCTATCCCCAGAGGGGAATGCTGACTGATGGCCTGTGAACTTTTGAGGATGCAGTTATAATGTTTGGTTCAGATAACTAGGCTAAACTTTAGGCAACGTCACCTTGGCTAGCCACTAGTTAACAGTCAAGTTTGGATGTTGAGAAATCTTCATTCTTCTTAATATAATGATACGCAGCGCTCCTGCGTGTTCGGGAAAAAAATCTTCAAGAGGAACATCAGGAGGGGAAATCTTGCTCGCTCATTCCTTCTGAAGTTCTCTGTGTTGCTAGATTTCTGAACCTATGGGCTATGGTCACTTTTAGGGCCTGTTCGGTTCCAGGGATTCACGTCCCGGAACCATTCCGGCTAGGATCGCTTATTTCATTTGTATACACCGGACTTCACCGAGAATCATTTCGGACAGGAATAACTGCAAATGAACGGGCCCTTAAGGTATGATTTGGATGTTTGGTTCAGCTGACTTTGGCAAGACATGTACCCAGTATCAATACAGTCTGGAATTGATTATGGGTGGTTAAGGGGGTACGGCAGAATAGCCAGTAGTTTCAGAAGGTCAGCTTATTAGTTTGGGTTACCCCAAGAAAATATGTAGCCCTCACCTCTCAGCCTTAAAAATACCATGCAAATAGGCATGAAAATTTTCTCAGCACATTGGTGTATAGAATGTGATATCATGTAGCATCCTACTAAATTTTCAACTCAAACTCTGAATATACAAGAGAAACCGAAAATACAAATTGGAATGCTCGTTATTATCCTTTCCTGATTCCCTGAAAAGTTATCTTTTTTTTTGTTTCCTCCTGTAAAAAGTCACTGTTTGAATTGGAATTGGAATCTGTTTGGATGCTTGATGCTAGCATACTGCGCATCCATGATTTTTCTTCCAGCTTTTCATGACTTATTTATTTGGTGTTTCAAAGATTGGGATAGTTTTTCTTCCAGCTTTTCATGACTTATTTATTATCCTAATAGCGTCTAAGAAGAAGCTGAAATGCTTGGAGGGAAACATATTCTGTTGCCTAGGCCACTTGAGGCGGTGCATGCACTGACCTACTGGCGCTCGGGCTGAGTGCGGCAGCAAACCTGAAACGAAGTGCAGGGCCCTGTTGTCATCCTTCCCACAATCTCCTGCACTGTGCTCGCCGGAGCCCACCGCCGCTGGCACACCCGTCATTTTCGCCACCGTCGCTGTCCCCTGGCGCGCCCGCGCACACATGCTCCCCGACCCTCCCCGCGACTGGCTCAGTGGCTCGTGCGCGCCCCAACCCACTCATCATGCACAAACCGGGTTGAAAAGCCGTGCGTCGTGCGCCGCGCAATCATGTCATCCCGGACGACGCCTGCGGCCTCCATTAGGCCGTTCCAACCCACGGAAGGCAGACCTGCAGCAGCTTCAATGCTTCGCCTTCCACTCTCCAGCAGGTGCAGTGCAGCTCACTTTGGCCGTTTCATAACAAGCTCGATTGATCTCGATCGAGCTAGCGGCCCGATGACAGATGCCACTGCCATGTAGTAGTAGCTTAGGTGCAATCTAGCTAGCTAATAGGTCTGATCACCGCCATCATCCCCCGGTGTTTTACTAGTGCCATCCGACGAGGAGAGGATGAGGGTCCGCACGGCCATTCTCCTCCTGCTAATCCTCGTCGTCCTCTTCCTCGCCGCGTCGACGTCGGCGGCCAGGAAGGCCGGCGACATGCGGGGGCGGCAGCGACAGATCCTACTGCAGGAGAAGGCGACTCTGCTGGCCCTGAAGCAGGGGCTCACGCTGCCGTCGTCGGCAGCGGCGGCCTTGGCGGACTGGAACGAGTCCAACGGCAACGTCTGCGGCTTCACCGGCGTCAGGTGCGACTGGCGGCGGGAGCACGTTGTTGGGCTCTCTCTCGCCAAGATGGGCATCCGTGGCGTTATTCCACCGGTCATTGGCGAGCTCTCTTACCTCCGGATCCTTGACTTGTCCAAAAACAACATCTCTGGCCAGGTACCGACGTCCGTCGGCAACCTCACGCGACTGGAGGGCCTCTTCATGAACAACAACGGCATCTCCGGCAGCATCCCTTCAATCTTCAGCGACCTCTTACCACTCCGGACGAGGCTCCGGCAACTCGACTTCTCCAACAATCACATCTCCGGTGCCCTTCCGCTGGACCTCGGCAGATTTGGGCAACTCCAAAGCCTTAACGTCTCCAGCAACAACATCTCCGGCACCGTCCCTCCGTCCATCGGCAACCTGACTCTCCTAGAGCACTTCTACATGCATGACAACATCATCTCTGGAGAAATACCTCAACCTAACAAGCCTCAAGGATCTGGAAATGTCCGTCAACCATCTGACGGGGCAGATTCCAGCCGAGCTCTCCAACCTCGTACGGCTCCGGACACTCGGCGTCTCCTCCGACCGTATCACCGGTGCCATTCCGCCGGCCCTCGGCAGCCTTGGGCAGCTCCAAATCCTCAACGTCTCCGGCAACCACATCTCTGGCACCATCCCTCCGTCCATCGGCAACCTGACTCAACTTGTGTTCCTCTGCATGCAAAAAAACTTCATCTCTGGAGAGATCCCTCTGGCCATCTGCAACCTAACAAGCCTTTGGGATCTCGAAATGTCCGTCAACCAGCTGACGGGGCAGATTCCAGCCGAGCTCTCCAACCTCCAGAACATTGGAGCCATTGACCTCGGCAGTAACCAACTCCATGGAGGAATACCACCTTCCCTTTCCGAGCTGACGGACATGTTCTACTATCTCGGACTCCGGCAAAACAACCTGTCCGGGAACATCCCGCCAGCTATCTTCCTCAACTGCACAGGGTTGGGCCTCGTCGACGTCGGCGATAATAGTCTTTTTGGCGAGATCCCCCGCGCCATCTCGAGCACCACCAAGTGCCAGTTCGTCGTCATCAACCTCTACTCCAACAAGCTCCGAGGGACGCTTCCACGGTGGATCGCCAACTGCACCGATCTGATGACGCTAGATGTGGAGGACAACTTGCTGAACGACGAGCTGCCTACGAGTATCATCTCGGGCATGAAAAAGTTAATGTACCTGCATTTGTCTATCAACAGTTTCCGGAGCCACGACGGCAACAGCAACTTGGATCCATTCTTCGTCGCGCTGTCGAACTGCACGAGCTTACAGGAGGTGGAGGCCTCCGCCGTGGGGATGGGTGGGCAGCTTCCAAGTCGGCTGGGCTCGCTGCTCCCGATCAGCATTTGCCACCTCAACCTGGAGTCGAACACCATCGAGGGCCCAATCCCGGAGTCTGTCGGGGACGTCATCAACATGACGTGGATGAACCTGTCGAGCAACTTGCTGAACGGGACGATCCCGACGTCCCTCTGCCGGCTGAAGAGCCTGGAGCGGCTCGCGCTGTCCAACAACTCCCTGACAGGTGAAATTCCAGCGTGCATTGACAGCGCCACGAGCCTCGGCGAGCTGGATCCGTCGGGCAACGTGCTGTCAGGGGCCATCCCCAGCAGCATCGGGAACCTTGCCGAGCTCCGATATCTCTTCCTGCAGGGAAACAAGCTGTCTGGGACCAATCTGTATGCCATCGACCTCTCCAGCAACAGCTTGACCGGGGTGATACCAGTAGCGAGCCTTGGCCGCTGCACACTAATTCGCCTTGACCTCTCAAGCAACCGCTTCAACGGCACCTTGTATTAAATTAAACGCTGCACTAGCTTGATGCGACTCTATCAACACTATATATAGGGTATAGGCTCCTTTTCAGAAAGATAAGTTAAGAGCGTGTTTTATACTACTCCGCTTTATTAATGGAGCAATTTATTTTGCCTTCGACTCCACAAACAGCTTTAGAGCTGAATCTGTTTTGATAAAACATTTGATAGAATAGCTTATCGTGGTGGATAAAATAACAAAATATCTATAATACCCTTTTTCTTTTTCTTTTTCATTGTATCTTCCTTTATTTATTTTCCCTATCTCTGTTTCTCCCATATCCTCTCTTCATTGGGTCATGCACCCACAATCACTTATAATTTGTCCACATCTCAAAAATATCATCTCACAAATATCATTACTTTTAATTGCATGGACATCAATACACCCAAATCTATTTAGGGGCCTAGATGATCTTTCAAAAAGTATCAATATTTATAATATCAAATAAGTATCATTAGATTTGTCATGATATATATTTTCATAGTATACTTATTTAGCGTCGTAAACATTAATATTTTACTTATATATTTGGTTAAACTTTAGGCACTTTATCTAAGAATGCATTTAGAACTGCATTCTTTTTGGGACGGAGGTAGTACAAGCAACCAATCATATTCGTAGTAAAGTTAGATCGATATAACCTATATAGATGGAGGCTATTAGCAATCACTGATTGCTATAAAGCTGCAACCATAACGAGCCACATCATCTGAATTCTAATCACTTGGATCACATCTACGTAACGCCATCTATCTGTCCAAACCCTCCCGTTGTTTTAAGCCCTTGGATCACCTCTATTTTTTTAAGACATCACCGGAGGGGTGAGCGCCCCACCCGAATGATTTTCCATTGATTCCGGTAAACCGGTAGATGGAGGGTGCACATGGCAACTTACAATGTATGGGGGCAGGCCCCAGGAATTACATATCTCAGGGAGAAGAAGAGAGAGATTATGCCATTACAAACTTATCACACCAGTAGTCAACTACCAATTTATCCTGAGAACGAAGAAGGCAACTCCATTGGCGGCAGGCAGCTTTGCAAGTGGCCAAGAGTCTGGAGAGGTTTGGTTGTTGCTGCCTGAAAACCACATCATGTCTGTGGTTCCAGATTTGCCAACAGCACAGCAGGATCATGGTGGAGAAGAGCACTTGTGGGATGTGATCTGGTCGGCGCATCTCCCATAGGCGGTGAACTTGGGGCAGAGAGGCTGAGTCCCAACCTAAATGTGTCCAGAAAGAGTTGGCAACTGGGCAGTGGAAGACGAGATGATCACAGTTTTCAGCGGACTGCCCACACAGCTCACGAGTGTCAGAATCCAGAATGTTTTTCTTAGCGAGGTTCGCCCTGCATTGGATCCTTTCTTGAAGTAGAAGCCAGCCAAAGAATTTGACTCTGGGGGGTGCGTAATTCTTCCACACGAAGTCATAGGATTGACACCGTTCACCTGATTGTGTGGAGGCCCTGTAGAGCTGCCCAGTATCCAGGCGATTTCCAACAGCAGCAAAGAAGCTGTTGCGTTCATCCTGCTGTTGACGGAGGGAGATGAAGGCAATGAGGCTGTCGGCATCAATTTTCTCATGTGCGGCCTGCAGTGATAGTCTTGGTGTTATATAGTAGATTACCTCTGTGTAACCGTAGATCTGGGTAAGCCTCCTCGCCCTTTCTTTGTTGCGGCATAGCAGCAGAGTAGACAACGGTGCCGCAGTGTAGTAGGCGTCCAGCGCGGTGGAGATGAAGTCCAGTGGCGCTGCAGAGGCGACGATGAGGTTGGTGGGACATCCCGTCGCTGGCAGCACTGCTTTAGATCGGTTTAGGTTTACTCTATCGATGGGTACGGCGGCTCCGTTGAACCTCGTAGCCCGAGCCCTGATCCCCACCTTACCTTTTATATGTGCTGTGCGACAGGGGCCCACCAACCGTATTAGGGTTGGACTCCTCCGATCAGGGAGCAGAGACAAGGGCCCATGGGCCTATTGGTAGAGATCAACTAACATTCTCTCCCTTGATCTCACTACCATCTTTCAATTTCATTTACTTTTGTTCATTCCATTATAGATTAGCGCATAGAGCATGTCTCATCGTCACGGTCCATTGTCGATAAACTTAACAGCTACAACACACTACTCTGTTCTGAAATATCTTTGGGCCTTCTTTTTTCCAAAAATTTTAGGCTTTCCTTTAAACCCATGCTAGCTACATGTTCTTTGAACACCATGTTCTCTGAACACGTTGGGTAGTAAGCCTTTTGTAAGCGGATCTGCGAACATCTTTTCTGTACTTATATGCTCAAGACTTATGACTTGATCCCGGACTTTTTCTATCACAACGTAATACTCTATGTCAATATGTTTGGTAGCACCACTTGACTTATGTTGTGAGCATACTGTACTGTCAGATTATAATCGTAGTATAACTTAAGTGGTCTATAAATGTCGTCAACCACCTTCAAACCGGGTATGAACTTCTTTAGTCAGTTCACCTGCCCGTTGCCTCATAACACGCTACAAACTGTCATACATTGTGGACGATATAGTGCCGGTTTGCTTTGAGCTTTTCCATGAAATAGTTCCCCTTTTCGAGAGTGAATACTATCTAGACGTGAATTTTCTATCATCTCCCGTATAATCAGAATCTGAATATCCCACTATATGGAGTGAATAAGATCTTCTATACGTCATCATGAGGCCTTTCGTTACTTGTAAATAACGCAAGACTTTCTTTATCAATTCCAGTGTTCTATTCCAGAATTGCTCTGAAATCTACCAAGTGAAATCCGGTAACAAATGCCAAGTCAGGGCGCGTACATACTTGAGCATGTTGCAAGCTTCCGACAGCCGAAGCATATGAAACCACTTTCATTTGATTGAGTTCATATTGGTTCCTGGGGCATTGAAAATCCCCATATCTATCGCCCTTGACTATAGGAGCAGGTGAGAGACTACATTTGTGCATATTGAATTTCTTTAAGATTCTTTCTATGTATGCCTTTTGTGATAGTCCTAATACCCCTTTTTCTTCTATCTTGGTCAATCTCGATCCCTAGAACGAACGAGACTTCACCAAGATCTTTCATATCAAGTTTTGAGGACAAAACTTCTTTGTCTCCTGTAGTAGACTGACATCACTACTAGCAAGTAAGATATCATCCACATACAGGACAAGAAAGATAAACTTCCAATTCTTAAACTTTGCATAGACACAATTGTCCTCTACATTCTCTTTTAAACCCAAAATTCTTTATTGTCTGATAAACTTCAAGTACCACTATCTTGAAGCTTGTTTTAATCTATAAATGGATTTCTTTAGGCGGCATCCCATTCGTTCTTTTTCTTCCATGATAAAACCTTTCGGTTGTGCCATATAAATATTTTCCTCCAAGTTCCCGTTGAGGAATGTCGTCTTTACATCCATATGATGTAATTCTAAATCGTAATGTGCCACTAATGCCATTATGATTCTAAAGGAAAATTTTCATGAGACTAGAGAAAAGGTCTCATTGTAATCAATCCCTTCTCTTTGCATAAAGTCTTTTGCCACAAGTCGCGCTTTATATCTCTCTATATTCCCTTGAGAGTCAAGTTTTGTTCTGTAGACCCATTTACAGCCTACTGTTTTGGCTCCTTTAGGAATTATCTCCAAATCCCAAACTTTATTTGCATTCATTGATCTCATCTCATCTTCCATGGCCTCAAGCCACTTTGATGAATGATCACTTTTCATGGCTTCTTCAAATGAGGTGGGATCATTCCCCATTTGAAATTCTTCAGTGTTGTACACTTCATAATCAGCCGGAATAGCTGATTTTCTAACTCTTTGAGACCTTCTAGGGGCCTCCTCAATTGGCACATTTTCTGTTTGAGGCTGTTGTTGCTCCCCCTCATGTGTGGCAATAGGTTCTATAGGATCCTGAGGCACAGGTTCCTCATCATCATTCATTGTTGCCACAGGCGGGATAACAACAGGTGCTGGCACCACAGTGTCTTGTACTGGTTGTGCAGCAACAGCAGGTAGTGAGAAAAATGGCTCATGAATGATCGGAGTGGGTGCATACACCCGCTTCTCTTCAAGGTCAATTTCTCGAGCTACCATGCTCCCCCTAATCATTTCATCCTCTAGGAAGACAGCGTGTCTCGTTTCCACAAACTTTGTATGTCTGTTAGGACAGTAGAAACGAAAACCTTTTGACTTTTCTGGGTAGCCAATGAAATGGCAACTCACTGTTTTAGGATCTAGCTTCCTAATGTTTGGGTTAAAAACTTTAGCCTCAGCAGGGCTCCCCCACACACGCAAGTGGTTAAGTGAGGGTACTCTTCCTGTCCACAACTCATACGGTGTTTTGGGCACCGACTTACTTGGTACTCTATTGAGAATATGAATGGCGGTTTTTAACGCCTCCATCCATAGACTCATCGGTAAAGTGGAGTAACTTATCATACTACGCACCATATCCATCAGGGTACGGTTACGCCTTTCAGCTACTCCATTCTGCTGAGGTTCGCCCGGTGTTGAATACTGGGCAACTATACCATTCTCCTGTAAGAACCTTGCAAAAGGTCCAGGAACTTGTCCATATGGGGTATGTCGACCGTAGTACTCTCCCCCACGGTCAGACCTGACTATCTTAATCTTTAAATCATGCTGATTTTCAACTTTTGCTTTAAATATTTTGAATTTATCCAACGCTTCTATTCTTTCTTTAATTGGATAAATGTAGCCAAACCGAGAGTAATCGTCTGTGAATGTTATGAATGAATCATAACCATCCACACTTTTCACAGGAAAAGGACCACATATGTCTGTGTGAATAATCTGTAGAATTCCTGCGCTTCGTTTGGCATCTTTCTTAATTTTCTTTACATACTTTCCTTTTATGCAATCTCTACATTGTTCTAACTCTGAGAGCTCTAATGAAGGAAGAATATTATTCTTAACTAGTCTTTCTATTCTCCCCCTCGAAATATGGCCTAAACGACAGTGCC